TACTCAATCTCTCACTTCTTCAGCGCACAACAGCAGCAGCAGACGCAGTATGCGTAGCCTGTAGGTACAATGCTGGAACTTCGGACACTGAGAGAGGGAGAGAGAGAGAGAGAGAATGAGACAGGGAACAGGCGAGGAGGACAGGTACAGCCAGGGCTTACAGAGTAGGACCTCCGCCGGAAGAGACCTTGAAGCTGTCTGTCTGCAAAGCCATTACTAGCGAAAGACCTTCGCCTTCAGGGACAAGGGCTCTACGAGCGGAAAGGGAAGAGGAAGGGGGGTGTCGCCCGAGAAAGTCTTTGCCAAGAACCAAACCTCCGGCAGGGGTGGGAGAGCATCCGCACCCGAAGGCAAAAAAAAGGGATGCGGGCCTACTGCAGGCCCATGGTCGCCGGGGTCCCCCCTTTGGCTCCGAGCTGGCCGCTTCTGGGGCACACACCTTTTCTTCTCAGTGTCTCTTCTTCTCCCACTCTGCCCCTCTGCTCGAGGTACGTAACTTGTCTCCCTGCTCGCTCTCTGTCTCCTCCACCGCAAACTGAGGAAAAAAAGAAGACCAGTTTCTCACCCCCCTGACCACCGTCGTGGTGGTTGTCTGCTCAGTGCTGCCGACCCATCCCAGGCCCAGGATAAGGTATTAGGTAGGGTTGTCCAAGAGAATGGAGACGGCATGAGAAGCCGCAGTGACAGGTAGCGAAGGTGGTGGGGTGAAGAGCGAGGATGGTGTGTCATGTTGCATGTGTCGACCTGATGCTCCCTTTTTCGATGCTCGTTCTATCGATGTGTGTACGGAGCAATAAGAGCATAACTCATGAGGGAGTATTGGCATACTGGAGGATGGTGGATGGATGACATGTTGTAAGCTTTGAGACTGACGTAGTGCGCCTCAGTCAAGCCCGTGAAGCTAGTGATCAAGCCGTCTCGAGAGGACTGGAGGCGGACGATGACAGTCCAAGTAAGCATCTGCAGCTCAGGCCGAATTGAGGATGCCGTCCTCGTGTGAAGATTCTGTCCTGCCGCCTGCCACCTTTTGCACTGCATGGTCGCACAAACTCCGGTGGGGAGGGATGAGATATGTTACAGCCGCAGAGGAGGATTCGGCCCCGGCTCGTCACAAAGTGTAGATTCCGGCAAGGTATCGATCGAATCCTTCACTGACTGGACCACCGCCTTACTCGATTCTGAAATGCGTATCGACCTTCTCCTCTCAACCCACACTTTGTTGGAAGGGCTCTCGCCCACAAAACTCTTGGGAGTCGGGACTTACGCCCTGTGTCTGTTGCCGCCACAATCCGATTGCCTGCCAAAACCGAGTGGCTCATCTCCTCCCCACTTCCTTGTGCAGGACTCTATGGATAGTCTGTACTCTCTACGGATACCGCAAGCTTTTAGAGTTTGACCAGGAATCTGCAGACGTGTGGCATCGTCATGTCATGTCAGCGCTGCCAAATCGCAGCCGCCCTTCGCTACGCAGCGTAATGCTTCTTCCTTGCGTCGCATCCTCGTCCTTCAGCCCGTCTATCGATGCAAGCTTGTCGCAGCTGCACTAGACTGCATCCCGCATGCCAGATGACAGACAAGAAAGCTTCTTGTCCTTGTTTGATCGTGATCCGCCTTCCCCGTGGAGTAGCGTAACTTCGCGGCGTCTTCTAGTTGTCCAAGCCGATGTGCTACGTAAATCCTTTCGCGCCTTTCGAGTTTCCAGGCGTCCCTTGACTCTTGAGTCGTCTCATGGTTTATTGCCCCAGTCTTACGCTCTGCAAAGCCTCGAGGCCGCGTCGGTAACCCATTGGAAAGCGGCTCTTGTTGACGAAGCGTATTTCGATCAGCCCGCAACGGAAGGAAATTTTATCGTGACAGGTCTCGTACCCAGCAAACAAGCATCTAGGTTATTGACGCCCGGCAGCTGCACGCCCACATTCCAAGCTCTTATGGAGAAGGCTTGTCCCTGAGCTTGAGCTTGAAATAGAAAGAAAGATTAGGATAAAGGAAAAAAGAAGAAGAAAAGCGCTCATGAGCTTACCAATAGTCCCCTCATGTGCCCCTCCTGATCTCCATCTGTAGTTGTTAAGATGTCAGTGCCGTACGTACCGCTTCGACGACTGCAATGCTGTCGTCAACTTCGCAGGTGGAGGCTTCGCCCCTCATATGAACATGGCCCCTCCATGTCCGGTTACATTCAAACACATCAATCACCGGGTGTCTGTGGCAGCATACTCCGCCAAACGCGTGGTCTCGACAAGAGCCGTCAACGACAGCTGCATGCCGGAGTTACATCTGCCAAACCATTGCAGTGCAAATGGAGAGGCCACAGTCCAGGCTTGGGTCAGGCCAACCGTAGCCGACGCTGTTTTTTTTTTGCCCACTTGAGCCTGCGGTGCTGACCGCCCTGGTATCTCGTCCCTAGCTCTCTTATCACTGGGCCCAGTCTGGTTGCAAGCCCCTGCTCGTTGGAGACTTGCCGACATTGTTAGCCCCCAAGAAACAAACTCGATTGTTCTCCCCCCCTGGCGTTGGGGGACGTAAGTACCGCAGTACCCTTCATCATCATCTATGGCGGTGACTACTCTGTACTCATGCGCCGCCTGGCACCGAAGAGGGCTGCAATATGGCCCGCGTTGTTTCAAGAGTGCAGCTCGGAATGGACATGTCTTGTTAGCCACCCTAGGATTTAGCCCTCCTCATACATACTGACACACTGCCTCAACATCGCCCAGGGGGCCTACAGTCGTTGGAGCTCTTCTCCATGAAGCCCACGAGAGGAGTCAAACAAAAGTAGTACTGGCTTTGTGGGATTTACCTCTCTTCGATCCCTGTCAGATGAAAATTGCCCTCCCCTCTCTGGCTCAAGATGCTGTCACGAATCGGAACGAATAGCTCCCGTCTCCCCAGGACAAGGCATCGTTGCCAGCTTGCAGAATCGCAACGGGGTCGCTAGTAGGGTCTGAGCTACATTGCCATGGCCATAAAGTCGAATTTCATCAAGAATATACGCCGACTGAAAGTACACTTGACGTCCTCTGATTGAATGAGAGGCCTCTCAGCGAAGACAAATGATCGATGATGCGCCTTTGATGGGCCTTGACCGGCGAAGATGACCTAGCACTATGAGAAAGTCGATTCGTAGCTGTGCTGAAAGCAATGGGTAGATTGTTGAAGGTGGAATAAACAACTTGGAACGGTTGCAACCGTCCCGCGCCGCACCAAATTCTTCACCAAGGTAAGGCAGGGGAATCCATGCTATTTGTCAATCATCCTCAATGCCCAAGCAGGGCCCCACGGCAGCTCTGTTTTCACCTACTATGTAGGCCAGCGCGGCCATCAACCCTCCTCAAGGACGTGCAAGGGGTACATTGGCATGACCTTTGAGCCCTCCATACCTTAAGCAGACCGTCTCTCATACCGGCTCGCATCCGAAGTGGTGTTCCGAACAGGGGCTTGCTTCGTGGAGGGTCTGATAATGGAGATGCCGTGATTTCGTCAAGCACCTCGCTACTCCGTGAGGTATCCAGAACTTGACTCGATCGGTGCAGCTGTCCCCTGTAGCTTGCGCCTCTCTAGACGTACCAAAGCTGGGAAAAAAGGGGTCCATGTAGGCCGAGTGCGGCATGTAATCTGCAAGATATTTCAACAGCGGCGGACGTGTGTTGAAAGTCGGGCTGATGCTTTGGACTTGTCATGGTCAAGCTGACCACTTTTCGCAAGTCGCAAGTCCATGGGTCTTGAACTCAAATGCCAATTTCTCAGGGGTGAGCTTGAAGGCTAGGCTGACAGCCCTAACAGTACCATACATCGCCTGTCGCGTTCCATCGCCCTAGGCTAACATTCACTTCCTTTGGATGGCCTCATTTAATCGTTGTCGTTAGTGTCAAGCCATCTGAATCTGCGGATCATCATGTCGTTCGGTCCGTTTTAGTTCAAGCTTCGATGGCCTAGAGTTACCCCAGACTCTAGGTCTCTGGATTGGGCAAAGGCTGTAATATCCTGGCCGGCCACCAATGATAAGTCAGATTTGGTGCTCATTTGAGAACCTCTCATTCATGCTCTCGGCCATGGTATACCAACGGGTTGTCTACTAAGCGGCACCAGGGCAGCTGCTGATAGATTGTGTGGAACTCAGTCGCAAACTGCTGCTGTCGTAATCGCACGTCAGCGCTTCCTCACTCGCGCCGCTTGGAGCATGGATTCGTGCGTTTGACCCAACGCTATGATTAAGCCTCTCGTTGCTTTTTTCGTTTGCTGCCGAAGAACCCAATCACGCACTACCTATCACCGCGGCCACATCCCGTCGCTGGGTGGGCGTTAAGGTTGCATGGGCCATAACGGGGGCTGTCAATGGCTTGTCCCAGTGCCTCTGTCGAAGATTTCTTGCCCTTTTCCCCTCCAAAACTACACAGTCCGTCTGTCACCAGTCTCAAAGACGAGTTGTGATGGAACAATAGCAACAGTTTTAGGCATTGAATGCTCCGGAGGCTTGTCGGTCATAAACCATACTTTTGATAAGCACAATCTCCCTTGGGAGTCCGGGCTTATCGAAATCGCAGCTACTCTCGATATTTGAAGTTTAAAATAAGCACTGTCAAGTCAGAGTCACTTCGTCGAGCAGCCACAGACGCATTCTCCGCCCGACCAGATATGTTGGCGCAAACAGCGGCTTAGACTCGTCGTTTCCCCTGTTCGTCTTCCCGTCGTACGTTGGATCTGCATCTGAGAAGTCGCAGGCGACAGTTACTTGTTAGAGACTAATCGAGAGTCGTCCTACAGTAGATTTTCGACAGTACGGATAGGTGCTCGTGCGCAGCAGGCGGGTGGTGTGAGGCGGTGGGCTATGATAGGTTGCAAAGGAGCGGCTCACCCAATGGCGACCTTTCTTCGCCTGGTGGTGGCCTGCCTTATCAACCCTAGCTACACATCGCGGCCTTGCCCTCCTGACAGGAGTTGATGGCATGCTAAGGCCCCCGTTCCGATGGAGCCCATTGGCAGTTCCTTGCAGGTTAGGTCCTCTATTCGTAAGAGGTCGGGGCTTTGAGAAGCAGGCCGACCCTAGTGCACAGGGATGATAGCGCAATGCGGGATTCGACGAAGAGGTGCCGGGGAACCATACTTCGGAGCCGGAGCTGTTGCTGGTGGAGAGCTGAGAGAGCCTTGGCCAAAACTGGGCCATTGGAGATTGCCATGCACGTCAGTCGCAACCGAGCCAGCAAGGCAAAGATGTTTGTGCGAAGGCAAGATATCGTCGCCGAGGCCCCAACGACTGTTGAAGATGACCCGGCGCCGTTGACTTCCAGCCTATTCGCGAAAAATGATATTATCTCGCCTGAAAACTCCCATGCCATGTTGTCTAGCGCCTTGATGTGTGCAGGTACTCTCTCTCTCTCTATGAGGCTCTCGGGTCTTGCTGCTACCGAGAGAGCAGTTCGGGCATGGGATGGTGGTGCGGCAGACATAGCGGCCCAAGAAGTACTTCTTTTGGTACGCCATGCTATCAGACCGGGCGTCACGGCAAGAACGGCCCCGGCCGGCCGGCCCCGGCACTCAACGAGGTTTAATAGCGTCAAAAGGAGGTACAGACGTCTAGATGCCTCGACAATGGCCTCCAATGTACCACCCACAGCCCGATAGCGTAGGAGACGAAGCGGCTTTTGCTTGAGAAGGGTGTGTATAGTGCGCTGGGCGACGAGGTGGAGCGCAGATGGTGAAGTGTAACACGCATCACTTGACAACCTAGCAGATCCAGGGTAAGGAAGATGCTCTCCCACTCCGTCATCAACAACACGGTGAAGACCCGAGAGCAGGTAGGTGGGGTGGTGTGGGATAACTATCCCGTTGGATGACACCCTTATGCGTAATGAAAAGGGTTGTCGATCAATTGAGTTGGAGACCTAAAGAGCGGTGGGAACAAGATGGTGCACGGGCGGAGGGGCCGAAGGCGATGTTGAGGGTCGTCGGTCGTGTATTCGCGCTCTAGGTCCTAAGTTCGCGATGTTCGTTGATGGTTGCGTATTGAAGGGCGGAGGCGGGAAGCGGGAGGGCAAGTCGGTCCAGACACGGGACAGAAGCCAGGGATTTGGCGGCTGGCACATATGTTTTGGGGCCAAGTAAAACGTGGCAATGGAGGGGGGGGGGGGGGGGAGGAAAACAAGAAGGGGGGGCCCGTGTTTTCGTGGGGGGGGTGGGGGGGGGGGGGGGGGGGAGCAGGGGGACGGGGGGGGAGGGAGGGGGGTGGGGGGGTGGAGATGTGTTGGGGGGGGAAAAAGAAGGGGGGGGGGGGGGGGGGGGGGGGGGGGGAAGACAAGCATCATGGTCGTCGCCTGTGTTTCCTGTGGTGTATTGTGGTGGTGCATGGGCTTCGCCTCTCCCCCCGGGATTGAAGAAATAAATCCTATCAAAATGGACGTTGTTGACGTTTCAACGTGGCTCGTGACTCTTGACTCTACGAGACTGACTCAACTCAGAAAGGCACGCATCTGCGTCCTTGCCTTCTTGTTCCAAAATTGGCTGCGATGCGAAGAAACCAAGGCAGGTGCTCCGAAGGCAGTCACCTTCTCTTGATGCCGGAGTGGGAAGGCACGGCTTCATTTACTTAACCGCACCTACAAGAGCTCTGCGCTTGGAGGTGATCATGATCCTCCTTTTCACTGTTTTGTACCCTTTCCGTCTGTTGTTGCTTCCATTTCTTTGAAAAACATCTTTCGGGAACCACCTGCATCAACAGAAACGCAATTGCCATCACAAGTTCTTCGAGTGCCGGTGGGAGAGGAGGTCTGACTTACATACCTTCTCTCTTGCCTTGTTTCGCTCCTGCCGTATTACTGTGCCGTGTGTGCCTCTCGACTTTCCCCGCATTGATCTGTCCCTGAGCCGTGCCTACCCTCTTCTGAGTGATCCATCTATTGGTGGGCGATGTCATTCTTGACCCCACATTGGGCCGAAAAGGGTCAGAGTCTTTCCTTCCCTCGGTTCCTTGCAGCAAGGCACACACACAATGGAAGGCAAGAGGGAAAGCACGGCAAGAGCATTCTGGACCTCGCTGCTTCACCGCCCTCGGGCTGCCCCAACCCTCCCACGCTTTCCCACGCTTTTCCACCACCCCCAAAATCTGACTGAGCAAATCATCATCGTCCAATTGACCCCACATGATGTGAAGACTGTAACGCCTCCCACGCATCTACAAAGTATTCCATCGCGTCGCATCACCAGGAAAAGCCCTCAGAGTGTCACCGAACCAGATTTTGTCATCTTTTGGTTCGAAACATCTGCAGGTGGGCTACCTTATGTTACTACTTCTTCCACAAACGTCTTGACCGTCTTTGTGATAATCTGCAGACGCCACTTGTGGCTCTCCTCATGTGGCGTTGTGCAGCAGCAGCAGCAGCAGCAGCAAATTAGCAACCGCATGCTATCCTCCACATTATGCCGTTAGGTACCTACCCCTGGCCCCTCTCAGATCAGACAAGAAATTCCCGAATGCTACCAAGAGCCCCTCTCGATTGTCTACCTGCATCATGTATCGTCAGATAGTCGAGTCTTTCAACCACATTACGCTCAACTCTGGCTCAATACTCTACTGCGTACTCCTTACCACATGGTGATTGACCATTTCTTCTCCCCATCCACCTATTCCCGTCCCGTCTCCATGGCTTGTGGACTGACACCATCATCCACCACCACCTCCTCCCCTTCTCCAGTTTACCGCTGTTCTCTAACCATTGCTTGCGCACAGACCCACGCCTCTTCCTCTCGGTCCAGGCACGAAGAGAGTTGAAAAAGGGGGGGAAGAGAAAAAAGGGTCACTACGTTCGGTCGCGAGTGGGTGATCTGCGACCAAGATGCTGACGAAACGTGGCTGACATGCCTGGCCTGTCTCTGCTTGTTAACCGGCCCTCCACTGCTCGTCCTGATGTCTGCAGCGTGCGGCGTGCGGCGTGCCTGGCTTCCTGCCCGTGCCACCGGCCGATTGTGGGGGTTGCATTCTACATGGACTCAATCACCATTCACGTCCAATCTTCAGTCCCGAATCCTGAATACTAGAACGAATCTGACAAGCAAATCGCACTTCCTCGACCGGTAGAGACAGCCCACTTGCAGACTCACCTACTTGCAAGTGTCTATCATGCAAGCCAGTGTATTCGGATCACACTGGAATCCAGTGCGGATAAAAGTCTCCTAAATTCCTAGCGGTCATTCCGCCGTATGTACTTTTGCGTCGCATGGCAATTGCTCCGGCTACCACATCAAACGCCCAGAACGCACCGCAGACAACGACCGCAAGGCTCAATCAACGGCCTACCCTTCGGACTCTGGTGCCTGAGAATCTTACTTCTGGGTGATATACACTGGATAGTCCGCAACGGGAAATGCCGTATGCCGTCTGGCCCTGGTCTGGTGACTGAAAGTTGACGAAAGTCGTCACGCCACAAGGGGCAGGTCCCTTCAACTTCATCCGCAATGAGGGGCATGGTGTGCGCAATTGCCATACTATCAAGTAGAACAACACGAACTCGTGCAATCGGGTACGCAGGTTCATGCTCACTCGGATTAGGCGATAGGTGCGGTAAGAAGATACGGCAAAGCAGACACACACACACACAGACACACACACCTACACGTACACGAACACGCATACACCATCACCACTTCGTGTATACGATGATACCTGTGTTCATTGTTAGTGGCTTGCTCTGGCCTGAGAGTCTGGGACGCACGCTGGCATTGCTGGCACACACCATCAACACCTGCTAGACTTGCCACTTATTACAAACGGGGAAAGAATTCTGGTGAAATCCCAATCAGGACTACCGTTCACCTGCGCCTTTCGTTCCAGCCCTGGAGGCAATTGTTCAGCTACGAGACTAAACAGGATCATCATGGGTCCCTAGGATCAGGTCTCGAATGACGAAGATGAGCATCATGAGCAAGGCAAAAAAGAGAAGAACCGGCGAAGACTTTAGCCCACTGGCCCTCACGTGGGAGTGATGATCGTCCGGGATAAAACGTGGGACCTATTCTAGTGTAGGTTCGGTCTTGGAAAGCCCCATGTGGCTGCTGCTAGTGTAAAACAGCAGTTCAGCTGAAAGCCTGGCAGTCTTGCTGCGTGGCTGGACCCAAGTTTGTATGACTAACACCTTGTGAAATGACCTGAATGGGTTGGTTTTCTTTCCGTACCATGGACTCTGGTGTCTCGAGGCCTTGTCACTGGTGGCCCTGTCCATTGGAGAGAATGGAACAAGATGAAATTGAAGACCGAGAAGTGCGAGGTCAGTGTTCGTACTAGCCTTTCTATCAACACCATGATTCTATCCGTATCTGGGGTCCCTCCTCGACTTCCCAGCCACCGCCGGGCCTGCTTGCGAGCTTGAGGATAAGTGGCTCGCCGGCGTGAGAGATGCTGCAGATTGCCAGACTGAGGTGCAGGCCGCAGTCGGGGGGATGTGGGGCACCGGTGAGCTCCCACTCGTTCCAGAATCCAGCGGGCCAATGAGCAAACCCCGTAGAATCACTTCATCTGAAACGGGGTCGAAACGGGACGTATCTTTTCTATGGACATGTTCAAGTTCACTGTTCTGGTCGATTTTAGTCCCGTCATCCATCACATCACCCGGTTATTTGTCTTTATCTTACTTCCAGGATATTCTATGAGAATGGTACGTACTGTGAGCTGTCGAGATACTTACCTTAGGTACCTTACTGCGTACGGAGTAACGTAGAGTAAGTACCGTATTACCTAAGTCCCCATAAATACGTCTCGTGCCGGGCCTACTGAGCTTACTTGACTTACCAAGGTACCTTAAAGGGGCTCAACAACTGCCTAACAGTCTGTATGCAGATAAATTGGGAAAGAGACGAACCTTAAGCCGTCGTGACCGCCTTACTGAAAAGTAGAGATATCACCGGCAACTATCAACTGGAAGGAAAGAGGAGGGAAGTGCTTACTACGTGCAGGCTCAACTACGCCTAGGCCCGCTACCTACCTTACATAGAACTTCTGTTAGACGCAGCTTCCCAAGGCAGTACTTGCCACAGAACCCCCCTCATCCTCTTCCTGCATGGAGCGGGCAACCAGCGGCTTCTTCCCCGAGGCCACCAACGTGATGGAAACCACCGGATCCCCAACTACCCATGACACTGCTTGACAACCTCACACACCACCACCACCACCACCATGATCACTATCTCCGCGACCGACCCGGGCACCATCCTCTCCCCTTTTGCTCGGGACAGACCGCAGACTGTCCCTCTTCGACTTTGATGACTGTCTGTTCACTGCATAGGCGAGGCCCACCATTGTGCCGTGCCGTGCGTCTCCTGGAAATAACTAGACCCGCCAGTGACAGAC